AGTCCCTCTCATTCATTTATTCAGTAAATATTTACCAAGTATGGTGCATACTGGGGACACATTAATGAACGAGACAAACAAGGACCCTGCATTTACTTAGTGGAATACATAGATAATACTATAAATAAAAATGTAACAAGAAAGAAATAACTTTGAGGGAAGCCTGAAGAAAACAAACCAGGATAATGTGCAGTGGCAATGGGGAGAGGCCCACATTAGATGGGGTGGTCCAAGAAGGCTTGTCTGAGGAGCTAAAATGCGAGCCATGCAGATGAATGAAAGAAATGCCATTTCAATTCTAGGACACAGGTGTTTTTAGGCACCAGGAAGAGCACGTGCAAAGGTCCTGAGGTGAGCACATACCTGGGTGGTGTAAGAATAGCACTGTCTTGAATGAGGAGCATAAATGATGCAGGGGTGGGAATGCAGGACAAGGCTCAGTGCTGGCAAAGTCTGTGACTCCAAGGCTCCATGCTGCTGGGATGCTTCTCTACCTAAAACTATTAGATGCCACATGCTATCCACAGATGGATAACAGGGGTCCTAGGAATCACATTGGAGTGGGCATGGTAGTTGAGGGTACTAGCAAGATCACAGAGTCTAAATCAGCAAGGACCTCAGTGGCACTAGTGAGCTAAGATGGTTTTAGCTAGGAGGCTGGAGGCCAACTTCAGTGGTCTTGGTCAGCAGGAGCCAAAAAATCCATATTTAAATTTGCAGAACCACGGATAGCTCCATGGGAACTATCACCTATAGAAATATTTTCACTAAGAAAATACTGAGCTTTTTCTGAAGCTCACATATAAAGGCTACATGGACCCCATAGCCTAGAAATCCTGCTTCCATGGAAGGAAGCTGCCAGTAAAACTGCTTGGAGAGATTAAGGAATGTGTGACTTTTAAACAGAGAAAGAAAAGACACTGTGAAAAGCAAGAGCGATTCAAGGGTGGAAGGGGCTGACCCCCAAAGCCAGCCAGCCTCGTCCAGGTGCAGAGCAGCTATAACAAACTACTACCACAGACTGGTGGCTTACATACAACAGAAACTTCTCACGGTTCTGGAGGCCGGGAAGTCCAAGATCAAGGTGCCAGCTGATTTGTCATCTGGTAAGGGCCCTCTTCCTGGTTCTAGCCCAATCCTCACATGGTGGAAGGGGCAAGAGGCCTCTCTAGGGATCTTTTATGAGGGCACTGATCCCATTCATGAGGGCTCCGCCTCCATGACCTAATCACCTCCTAAAGGACCCGCCTCCTCAGACCATCAGCTTGGGTGTTAGGATTTCAACAGGTGGATTTGGGGAGGACATAAGCATTCACACCATGGCAACATGCCTTCCCTATGTTGCTGGGATGATTCTTTTTGTGCTTTGATATAGCACCAATTAAAATCCAATTCCAGCTGAAGAACTCTCAAAGACCCAGCAGCAGCTCTCACTTGACGTTATTAGCATACTGGCATGTGCAGTCTGAAAGAATCCCCTCTTCTCCTGAGGAAACAGGCTGGAGACGGGGCATTCTTATCTGTCTTTTGTCACATCATTCCACGACTGTGCCCTTGTGCAATCTTTTTAGGCAGAGAAGTCATCATTGTGAGCTACTACCTAAGTGTTAGTGTCTTCTCACCTGCAGTTGTATCTCTGTGTTCCTTAAGTTTCTTTAAACAGCATTTTAACAAATTCCTGATTTGAATATATATTTTTTTTATTTATTTATCGATTTCTATCTGTCTTCTCTTGTACCCTGTGGTCTGTCTTCTGCCCTCAGTGCTGTAGTGGAACAGCTTGCCCACATTTGTTAATGGCCTCTGGTCTTCTCTGCCTCTTCTCCATTCTCCCCTCCACCTCTCTGCAGCATATGCCTCTGTTGACACATCCTCATTGCTGTGGCATTCTCACCTGCCTTTTAGGACACCTTCCTGCATCCAGCTGCCTCCTGGCCCTCCCCGAGCTGGCCATAGCAGACTCACTTGCTCGCTCTTCCCTCTGGAGCTCTCCCCTGTCAGCTCAGCCGTCATCTCTGGTCACCAACCCCCAAGCACATATCTCAAACACTGACTTCCTGCTCCCCCTCTGGGCCCTGGGCTCTGTGCACCTTCACCTGAATGCTCATCATGGAGGAAGCCAAGTGGCTCCCCGTCCTCTCCTCTCTTAGCTGCCTGCAGCTCCCCTGTGGGTGCCCCTCCCTCCTGCTAACCCGGGCTCGAAGTTCACAACAATCCTCAGGATCCTCTTCTCTGTGTTCAGAGGTTATCTGGCCACATTAACTCTAGCTCTGAATTTAAGTGGGTTGAGGACCTATGAACAGAGGGAGAAGTGGAGACAGCAGGGTAGACAGGTGAGGCTGTGCTGGGCAGGGGACGGGGGCAGTAGCTGAGAGGAAAAACAGGTCAGAGAGGGTTTCTGAAGGTAAAAGAGATTGGGGGATGTTTTAAAACAAAGAGTAGGGAAAGATCTGGTAGGAGAGAAGATGAAGGTTAAAAGAAAGAGAAGGCTCTTTCCCAGGTTCCTCAGAAGGATTTAGCAACACCCTGTCTGACTGGTGACGTCTTACCACACGCTCTTTCATTTAGAAATACTTCAGGCTGCAAGTCCTTTAGGAACTTGTCCTGTAGATTTGCCAACGTTGGAATGATGTAGGCCACAGGGATCCGTTACAGCACTGTTCGTCTTATCAACAGATCATTGAATATTAGTGTTTATTCCGATGTGGATTGGAAAAATGCATTATAGTACCTCCATACAGTGGGCTGCTGTGCAGCCTTAGAAAAGAATAGGAGGCCGGGCGCAGTGGCTCACGCCTGTAATCCTAGCTCTCTGGGAGGCCGAGGCGGGCGGATTGTTTGAGCTCAGGAGTTCGAGACCAGCCTGAGCAAGAGCGAGACCCCGTCTCTACTAAAAATAGAAAGAAATTAATCGGACAACTAAAAATATATAGAAAAAATTAGCCGGGCATGGCGGTGCATGCCTGTAGTCCCAGCTACTCGGGAGGCTGAGGCAGGAGGATCGCTTAAGCCCAGGAGTTTGAGGTTGCTGTGAGCTAGGCTGACGCCACTGCACTCTAGCCTGGGTAAAAGAGTGAGACTCTGTCTCAAAAAAAAAAAAAAAAAAGAATAGGAGACTGTGTCCTTACAGAGAAAGGGAATTCCAAGATAATATCAAATGAATAAAAGCAAGATAGAACAATGTTATATGTATCTTACATATGTACAAGCGAGACATAATGTATATAATAAGCTATAACAACACACTGTGTCTGCTGTACTTTGTGTTTTTTAAAAGGAGAGGGTGAAGAAGAAAGAGGTATTCATATTTTCTTATACACACAGAAAGACTCTGGAGGGACCCCTGAAAAACCTGCCCTGTGGCCGATTGGAGGGGCTGGACCTTAGAAAATAGGGGAATTTTGGGGGGGGGGGCTTTAACCATGTATCTTTTTATAGTTTTAGATTCTTTTTTTTTTTTTTTTTTTTTTTTTGAGACAGAGTCTCACTCTGTTGCCCGGACTAGAGTGCCATGGCATTAGCCTAGCTCACAGCAACCTCAAACTCCTGAGCTCAAGCGATCCTTCTGCCTCAGCCTCCCGAGTAGCTGGGACTACAGGCATGCGCCACCATGCCCGGCTAATTTTTTCTATATATTTTTAGGTGTCCAATTAATTTCTTTCTATTTTTAGTAGAGATGGGGTCTCGCTCTTGCTCAGGCTGGTCTCAAACTCCTGACCTTGAGCGATCCACCCGCCTCGGCCTCCCAGAGAGCTAGGATTACAAGCGTGAGCCACCACACCTGGCCAAGTTTTAGATTCTTGAACTATATGCATATAGTATAACCTCTTTAAAATGTTCTAAAAATTGAATTTTTTTGAAACCTCCAAAGATTAAAATGAATAGTATTACTTCCACCAATTGAATAAAAGCCAAGTTGTTTTAGTGGCGAGAGTATTTGGCTACTCCGAAGTGTCCATTCATGAGTCTTTTCTGGTTTTCTAAATAAGGTTTGGCTTATTGTCATCACTTTGGAGGAATTATTTCTGACTTGTAATTATTCCTGTTCTTCCTCTCAGAGAACTTCTACCATAGCTAATATTATTAGTGAAGCCAGATACAGTTTTCATACATTGGTGTCCTTTTTCCCCCATCCGAAGCTTTAATGTTTCAACAATCCGTATAGATAGGATAATTATTTGCCTTAATACTTGAATTCTTACCCCGATACATCTTACATCCTTACTCCAATAAAGTGTTAAATGAAACCTTTGACCGTGTTATAATAAAAATATTAAGTTCAGGAGACCTTAAGGCCGTGCTGCTGTCGAGGGGCTGTGCTGCGGCACGAGGGCACGAGGAGCGTTGGCGGGAGGGCGGAGCACTGTCCGCCACCCCTGGCAGCGCTGTTGCAGTGAGCTGGGACAAGTGGGTGGACTTCTAGTAGTCACCGCCCAGGGCAGCTCCAGGAGGAAGCCCTGAGCGTCTCATGCGTCCCACAGCGCGGCAGTGGTCTGAAGTGGTGGCTGCAGATGTGCAGAGACAGGTCGATCTTGAATTGTGAAAAGAAGTTTTGACTAGACGGCAGGTGGCCTCGACTCCAATAAGATATTTCCTTTTTCTCTTTCAACGTCTCAAACCCAGAATAGGTCCTCTCCATGAGACCCATTGGCTGCTTTAATTCCATCATTCAAAAGTCTCAAATTTTGTAGCTTCTTTTCAGTTAGTACCTTTCCATCTTTGTTTTTTAGGTAAGATCAGTCGTCAGACTTTGAAGGAAAACAAATGACTTTCAATGTAGACTTTCTAAAGGTTCTAATTAAAACGAACGTCCTTGCGTTAATACCTTAAGTCCTGGGTTTGTAATGAGCATTGTTACTTAATTCAGAGATGACACTGGGGAGCGAACTGGTGGTAGGACAGCACAGACCACTGTGGTTTCAAACTCTTGGCAGGTACGTCTCCGTTCATGGATGCATTAACAGCCAATGGAACAACCAACATACAGACATCTGTTACAGGAGTGACAGCCGGGAAAAGGAAATTTATTGACGACAGAAGAGACCAGCCTTTTGACAAGCGGTTGCGTTTCAGTGTGAGGCAAACAGAAAGTGCCTACAGATACAGAGATATTGTCGTCAGGAAGCAGGATGGCTTCACCCACATCTTGTTATCCACAAAATCATCAGAGAATAACTCACTAAATCCAGAGGTGAGAGACACTCCTTGGGCTGATTTGTGCTTCATGCTTCTCCATGCCCGTGTTCCGGGCCGCTTTGCTGAATTGGCGCTCCTCTTTGTGCTCTCTCTGAACCTCCCTGCGGCCGCGTCCCAGTGCCCTCCAGAAGGTAGGGCGCAGAGGGAAGCTGGCGCTTTGCTCCTCATCACACTTCGGACTGAGGTGTAGTCGGGCCAGAGGCGTGTGCTGAGTGTCCATCCCTGTTCTCCTGGGTGTGGGCTGTGACGGGAACCAGGGCTCTGAACAGGGAGACGGTGGCTGTGCATTTGTCCTCGTTCACCTCCCTGGCCGGGAGCTCTTCATCTGGAGGGCACAGGGGCTCGGGGAGCCCGCAGCCTCCCTGAAGTCACGTGGACATGTGTATGCACACATGCTTTGCTTTCGCTTTCATCAGAGTCTTAAAGGGTTCTTTGTTCAGACAATTAAAATGCCCTGGGTCCTAGTCCCATCCGAATATTTGTCATCATTCCTAGTCTTCAGAACTTGCAGCGGGACGTACCGCTGCAGGGCTTTCAGCACGTGCTCGGTGCCGAGCGCTCAAGGACTGAGGGAGGCTGGCGGTTGCAAAGGTTCGAAAAGGAATTTTATAAAGTATCTAGAATTGGGAGTATCAGAACCTGCCCTGTACTTCACCAAAATGTTAAGTTCTACTATTTGTTTGTTTTCCATTGTGAGCAGCTAGGTCAGGTTTTTTCCAGGAAAGACCAAAGTACAGAAAGTCTATGTGTCTGGCAAAGGTCACATAAGAAGCCAGTTCAAAACTGGTCCTTGGTACATTTTTAGACTGCAGAGTCCCTTTGTTGGTTATTTTAAATGCTTCTTAGAGACCATTTTAAATGATTTTGTGCCCTTCTAAAATTACCTTTCCATGCTAATGTGTTTGTACTTAATAATACACTTACACACCAAACTATTCGAGTTTCTGTCTCAAGTGTGGCAGGCTGGGTTTTTATAAAAAAACAAAACAAAATAAAAAAAACAATGGGACTAGTTTCTTTCAACTGGTTTGAATATGCCACCTGCTGTCCAAACTGGAGAAATGCCCAGTGATGCGAATGTAGCTGGCTCCTCTGCCAAGAGCCGCAGTGACTGTAGAATATCAAGGTAACGTAGATTCCCATCTTTCTAATTATACTTTATTTATAACTAGTTATGTTATTTATATTATATTTATAGTTATATTTATACTGTCCCCAGCAAGCCCATCTCTGGTTACAGAAAATAAGAAATTTGCAAAATGATTAAAATTATGGTACCTGTAGGGAACTCTCATCAGGCCACGAATGCCTTTTTTATAAGTCCAGATTATCCAGTAATAAAATGCTTTTGCGGTTCTGTGCCCAAAATACTCTTTGCCACTTTAACTTCTGGTGACTTTCAGGTAATGAAAGAAGTCCAGAGCGCCCTGACCACGGCGGCTGCCGACGACAGCAAGCTGGTTCTGCTCAGTGCAGTCGGCAGCGTTTTCTGTTGCGGGCTTGACTTTATTTATTTTATACGGCGTTTAACAGATGACAGAAAAAGAGAAAGCACTAAAATGGCAGAAGCTATCAGGTATGTAAAAATGGTGTGTTTTTAATGTTGGTTTGGGTGTTTTACTTTGGGTGTGCCAATCCAGATACATGCCCAAACAAGCCTTGGGAATAAAATGTACATCTTCCACTGAGAGACACTAGTAGCAAAATTAATTAAATCATGTCTTTTCTATGGGCCTGGCATGAATTACTACTTGCCTTGGGCAGAAAACTGACTTCAAGGCTGGCTTAAGCCCAGCAAGTGTTCAAGGAATGTTCTAATGATTAGAGTGTGCAATAATGTATAGCAGCAGTTTCCATTATTTGTGCTATGAGTGTGTTCTGTCCTCAACCCTTAAGTAAAGATGGATTCTCTTCCAAATAATGACTTACCATTTGCTGACTCTAAAATAAATTGTCTAGGCTTCATGACAAGCTAGTTCCATAACATCACATGGAAAGATTTTTTTTAGTACAAGCAGTGCACATTCTTCTTCAAGTTCATCCTAGGTTTCAGCTAGACAGCGAACTAGATAATATGAAGTAAAAAATGAAAGTCCCCCCTTTTCTCTTAACACCCCCAAGGTATCCACTGTTAATTTGCATGTCTTCCCAACATTTTTCTAAACATTTTGGTTTGTATTTTTAGTTGGTTTTCTTTTTTTTTTTTTCTCCTTCAGACATAGGGTCTTACTGTGTTGCCCAGGCTGGAGTGCAGTGGCTATTCACAGGTGTGATCATGGCACACATACTGCAGGCTCAAACTTCTGGGCTCAAGATTAACAAATAAAAATTGTATACATGATGTTTTGAAATATGTATACATTGTGGAATGTCTAAATCAAGCTAATTAATATATGTGTTACCTCACATAGTTATCATTTTTGTGTGTGGTGGGAACACTTAAAATCTACTCCCTTAGCAATTTTCAAGTTTATAATACGTCGTTATTAACTGTAGTCACCATGATGTACAATAGATCTCTTGATCTAAGCATTTTCAAATATATATTTCTCACACACATGAATAATACAGATTTATGTTTAGTTCTGTTGAATTAATGTAATTATGCTTTTTTGCTTTGCAGCTTTTTTCATGTAACAGCATGACTTTGAGATATTTCCATTTCCTTGGTTGTTGGATTGTCCACAGCTGTATCATACCAGTACAAAAAGCTTCCCTAGAACCACCCTGATTCTGCCTCAAGCATATCCCCTCATTATCATGCTAATCACTATACTGTATTGAAAGTGCCTGATTTTTCAGAGACGAATTTTATTTAAAATGAAACGCAGTCACCAACCAGAAAGACTGTTGTACTTCCCTACCCACCTTCCTAAGTGACCCCAGAACCCTTTGTGTTTGCCTTTTTAATTTATAGCAGAACAAAAAATGAAAGAGAAGACAGACTTAAAAAATGGCAGTAAAGTAGGTTGGATCTTTCCCCAAACCCCCCAGATATCTGGAGTGTTGAAGTCGAACAACTTCTGATAGATACTGGGCTCCTGATGGCTGAGAACTTCAGCACTGCCTTTGGGGCACTGGGCTTTCTGGTCCCCTGAACCATCCTAGAGGTACACCGCAGGATTGGTGGAGCATTTTTTTCTGTTATGGTGGGTCTGGGGTGGGGCATCTCTCTTTGGCAGAGTATCCCAAGCTGACTCTGATGGGCATTGCCCAAACAGCCTGTCAGAGGAGTCCTAAAACCTGCACCGTGGCCTTTCATGACATATTTAGTCATTTTCAAAATCAATACATTTTCTCATATGATATACACATGTTATTTAGGCAGTTTCTATTCCCTAATCTTTTGAGCATTACCATTTTTTAGGCTATAATATATATATTTTTTTCAGAAATAGTTTGAAATTTTATAACCTGATCTTATTAAGTACTATTTCTGGTCTCTAAAATAATTTCAAATATGTGGCCCACTACTAGATGGGACCCCATCTTATTATTTAAGATTAAACTTCTCGATCGATGTGCATAATTCCTTGCCAGATTATCAGCACCTCTAAGACAGCTGGTAGATATCTGCATCATTAGGCCACCCAGTCAGGATGAATCCCATGAACTTAATTTTCATTTCTTAAATACAAACCATTGTGCCTCACATGGTCACCTTGTGTTATATATTTCCCATGAGATCACACTGAATTTACACATAATATTGTGCTTTGGGTACCTCTGCTGTAACAAGAACGTAGGATTTGTCAGCAGTACCTTCGGGTCCTGGCTCCGTGTTCCCCTGCGGACTTTCCCTTGAGCTCCCCTCGAAAATCTTGCCAGCGCCTCACCCTGGCGGACCACTCCCCCCAATGTTGGATCCCCCTGGACGGTGGATACGGCTGGTGGTGTTGGGATTAGTAAAAGAGAGAGAGCAAGACATTCAAGTAGAGATCTCATTTGTTGAACTTTTAAGTAACTTTAAAAGTTTATTTTCATCAGCTCCCCATTCCCCACAAAAAGCTGAATTGATACTCTGGTAAAAAGCGCCAAATCCTGCTATAGGGAAACCTGCCTGTTCTTTACATGACTGTATTCTTGTCAATGTGAGTTTTTCTTAATATACTCTGGCAGGATCAGAAAAATAATTAGTTACACCGGATTCACTTAGCCTTTCCTCTCACTCATTTGCATTTAAATTAATTTTTATATGGATAAAATTGGCTTATACACAAAAGCTCTTCCTGTGTATATTTTTTGTTTCTCTGGTGTCTCAAATTATTTAAAACTTTGAGGCAAAGGACTTCATTTTAGCAAGTTTCCAAAAGAAAAGTGGGAAAGAGGAAGACGAAGTTAAGCATTAGGTTGTCAGGTATCTAGGGCAGCTAATTGTGTGATCAGAATTAGTGGTGATGATGAATTTGCAGATTAACTGTAATGAAAAAATTCACTACTTCAGTGATTAAAACCAAAATTCTTATGAATTAGTTTACAACATTAGGCTTTTGAAGCCTGCTGGGACTAGTAGTTACCACGTAGTGTCTGGAGAACAAGGAGCCACCTGTCCCCAGAAGAGGTGTCTTCTCCCCTGACGGGGGTGGGGCGGGATAGGGGGCACCTGGAGGCCGGAGGATTCCAGCCAGTAGACATCCCCATGAACCTGACCTCCTCAGATGAAGGGAGCACTCAGCTGAGAAAAGGCAGCCACTGGCTACTCAAACTTAAGATCCTTGTTGCCTCATTTTCCCCAGACAGTCCCTAGACCGTCATCTTATGTGACTTTCTAACTATTTGATGTCTGCGAATTACTCAGTGTTCTTAAAGGGAAGAATTTTGTTTAATTTTAAAGTAATTTGATCACTCTCCTTCCCTGCCATAGCCAGCATAGCCTTGAACTTAATTCACAAACAATTCCAAGGAAACAAATTTAAATTCAGTATGTTGCATTGCACATATTTCAGTGTTCATGTGTTTTGATTTTAAGTTTAAAGAGTACATTTGCTTAAGGTCCAGCAAAAGCAGGGCCTGGAGTCAGTTCCCATTTCCCCAGCTCTGATAGCCCGTGGCTTGATTTGCAGTTCCCTTGGCCAAGCTTTTATGGCCCTAGGAAGTTTCTGCTAGACAGAAAAACATTTCTTTGAAGGTTTCATTTTGTTTTGTTTTGTTTTTTATAGAGATGGGGTCTCACTCTTGCTCAGGCTGGTCTTGAACTCCTGACCGCAAACGATCCTCCCACCTCAGCCTCCCAGAGTGCTAGGATTACAGGCATGAGCCACCACGCCTGGCCTGTGTTTTGTTTTTTTAAACAAAATGAGTTTCTGTGCAGGCCATGTTCATTTTTGGCATCTCAGGGCTCACCTTTCAGAATGGCAAGTTCCTGTCCTCTTAAAAGGGAAGGTGGTCTTTGCTCCAGAGTAGCAAAGACCACCTGGTTCATTTATACCCCTCCCAGAGAGAACCACCAGCTTCCGATGAAGTCATCATAGTTATCATTCCGGGCAAAAATAAAATTTCAGTTCCAGAAAATTTCTCCAGCCTGTTGAAATCTAACTTTTGATTTTTTTCAATGTCTATTTTAGAAGCTGGGTTTTTTCTCTTTTATTACAGACATATTGGGAGAGGGGGCAATGCTGTATGAAGTAATTAATTGCTTGTACTATTTCTCTGTTGTTATTATCCTGATTTTGATCATCCCTTTCATGTTAATCTGTCACCCACGTCCATGGTTTCGAAGTGTCTGCTTTGTCCCCTGTTCACAGGAGGCAGGTGAGAACCAGGGAGACCGTTTAGGAAATGTTTCTGCTCTGTGTCAGGAAGACAATTACGCATTACCTTTTCAGGAGTCCTCAGTAACTGAGCCTAGGAAATGTACTTCCACCTTGAGTCACTCACCCCACGTCCTCAAGAGGCAGCACAGCAACGGAAGTAGCTTCATTTGGTTTTTCTAAGCTTATTTCAAGAGCCTGCTTTAAAAGGGTGTCTGACTCTTTGTATCATTAAACCCCAGTGTGATCTTTCTCACGATGCCTCAGGCTCTCTCATTTAGAAAGACTTAGTGCTACTCGTTCATTTCAATGAGTCAATTCTTGCGTAATGCAAAGGTCATACGAACCTTGGGGACCGTGCCAGGCAGGCTCAGGTCAGCCTAGCTGGCTTGAGACCTACTAAACTCTCAGCCCCCCTCTCCCTTGTTCTTCACATGCACACATACCCCTTCACACGTCCCCAGCCTGTCCCCTGCAAAAAAAATCTAGGATTCATCCTGTCAGTATCTAAGGAGCCGAAGGGGGAAATGTCTGAGATGCCAAGTCCTGGTTTTCAGAGGACTCTGAACAGATAGCTCTAGCTTTTAAACTGCTGAACCGCAGAGAGCATCTAGATTGTTACTTTCAGTACTGACGATGGAGATCAGGTTTAGAAAGTGGAAAAGTGGAAATCTAGCTCTATTCATTCTGTAATTCTGATCCAGAACTTAGTCTTGAAGGGATTGTATTGTGTTTATCTTGATCTGTGTTTATCCTTTTCTCCACCATGTGAGATCGTAGCAAGAAACAACCTCTGAACATAAAGTCAGCTTCCAGTATGGGGAAGATGGACATTTCCAGGGCAGTGTGTTAGGTTGGCTTAGGGTGGGAAAAGTATGTGTGGGACGTACTTAGATAGTGATCATAAAGAACTTGAGACCCCCTTGCTGTGCCAGTGGCAACAGAGGGTTGAGTGGCAGAATAGCATTGTGATTAAGGGATTCATTCTTGGGCCTGGTTTCTTTGTCATGTAACGTAATGTTGTCCCTGACGACAACTATGAAAGATGAGCTCCTCGTATGGAGGCAGAGAAGGGACTCAGTGACTCAGTTTCTCCACCCTGTACAGGACACTAAATGTTAGGGTGTGAAGTCCATATGCGAGGGGAGAAAGAATTCTCGGACATTAGGATATACAGAAGTGAGAGTTTATTTTAATTTTCCTAAGAAGGAAGAAAGAGAGAGATGTATAGAGAGAGAGAGAGAGAAAGAGAGTAGCCACAACACACAGAGGAAGGAAAGAAATGTCGGGCCATTTGCCATTGCGGTGACAGAAATTGTATGAGACCTAGTGTTTTGAGACTTCAGAGGAGGCACCCCAGAGGGGTAGTTTTAGGAGGAGTAGACCGAGAGTTTCCCACATTCCTAGAAAGAGTAGGGGTCACACGGGGCCGATTCTACTCAATTCTAGGTGTCCCTAGAACGAGGGAATGACATGGGAGTGACGAATGAGCGACAAGTGCAAGTGACAAGTCGGATCGGGCCTCCCTGTGTCCAGTGAGGGCCCCAGGGGCCGGGGGTCCTCTGGCTTACCAGTAGGGCTTTGGAGTCAAGACGAGTTGAGAAGCGAGAACGAGAACAAGCTTGTGAGCTCCCCTCTTGCCAGGAACAGGATAGCTCAGGGTGTGGATTTTGGAGGTCAGCAAGGAAGATCCAAGTCCCAGTCCGATGTCTGCCTCTCAGCTTGGTTCAGGAGGGCCAGGTGGGCAATGACCTCACCTCGGCCAAGCTAGAGTGCCCTGCCTGCAGTCCAGAATCAGAAACAAGTTAGAGAGGGGCCCCTGCACGGCTCAGGACTTCTCCCAGCCACCTCATCAGAGACAAGGAAGGTTAGTGTCCCAAGGGGACATAATCAGCCCAGGAGACCGGTTCCTCTCAATTTAGTCAAAGATCTGTGAAAACTTCACCACTGACCCAGGGACTCAGTTGAAGGCAGGATTCGGGAGTAGACCCAGGACAAGCTGCCACTGCCTGCTGCTTCCCGAATTGTAAGCCTTGCCTGCTAGAGTCCTGGAGGTCGTGTCCACCTGGTGTGCCCTCCGGGTTTTGGCACCAAATGTTAGATTCTGAGCCAAGAGGGAGGTACACGAAGCCTTGTGTAGCAAAATGCTGTTTATTTTGAGCAGATGGGTGGAGGCCGAAAGAGCATCCATACCAAGGGAGGGGAGAACCTTGGGTTTTATAGAGGGTTTTTCTGGGAGAACTAACACCTGCAGAGATAGGGGAGGAGAAGCTTTGTCCGTATCAGGGGCATAGGAATGCCGGCATCACTGCAGCTTTCTGGGGTCAAAGTTAGATTTACAACCTAGGGACTCTCCAGACTCCCGTGGCTTTTGTTTTATAGGCTTTATGATCACTGTCTATTACGTCCTACACGTACTTTCAGGTTCTCACCCTAAGCCAGCCTAACACAGTGTGGTGCCAGCCTACCCTAAACTGAAAAGCAGCCTATACTTTTCCAGCCTCTTCCTAAAACAAATCCAAAAATAGCATGGGCTTGGTTTAATGAAACTCAGCATCCTCCCCAAAGGCTGCCCCAGTTCTTCTCTCGCTGTCCTCTGAGCTCCTGCTGAGGCCGTACCCGCAGTGGAGCACAGGACAGTGCGCAGGTGTGTGCCTTGTGGCACTTGCTCTTGTTTGCCAGCTTCGCATCTTAAGCCAGCCTGGGAGACTCTTAACCTCCGCCTCCCCCAGGCCGTTCAGTCTACTTCCGTATAAACTCAGCAAGTAGTTGTTTCCAAATAATCAGTGAGCTGTCTGAAGCCCCAGACAAGGCCAGATCCCAGGGTTTCTGACCCCTGATCCCCCCTGTGCAGTCAGCACCAGGCAGTCTCCAGGTGCCCGTGCCACATTTTCCTGGGGACAGCCTCTTGATTGGTATATGAAGCCTAGAATGTTTACTGGGCTCCTCTTCAAGGGAAGGCAGGTTAAGGAGCAAGATGTGTTGCTCATAGAGCCCAAGAGCCACCTGCAGACGCAAGAACAGCCTGTGGCTGCCTGTCCCCAGAGCCTTCACACAGGTCCCGTAGCGCAGCCACCTCCTGCCTGGGGTCCCAGCTATCACCAGGCCTTCCCAATACACAGTGAAGAAGTCCAGGGTCCACAACTGCTGGGGGAAGGCCTTAAACAAATCTCAGCTCTTAATGATTTCTGTAGAGTTTACATCTTGGTAAATTGAATTCCATAATAGACTTTTCCTTTGCTCAGATATGCAATGTTTTGAGTAATTCCGCATTTATTTTTCATTTTAGAAACTTCGTGAATACTTTCATTCAGTTTAAGAAGCCTATTATTGTAGCAGTAAATGGCCCGGCCATTGGACTAGGAGCATCCATATTGCCTCTTTGTGATGTGGTTTGGGCTAACGAAAAGGCTTGGTTTCAAACACCCTATACTACCTTCGGACAGAGTCCAGATGGCTGTTCTACCGTTATGTTTCCCAAGATTATGGGAGGAGCATCTGTGAGTACCTTTTTAAAAAAAAAAAAATCATTCTAGAAAGCTTCCTGAAGAAATCTAGTTTGGTTATTGTTTTTCTGAAGATAAACAGTGTGTCATCCTGTGGGGACTTTCCATCTTATGACGTGGATTTTGGTTCCTAGAATGTTACTGACCCTGTTTTGCATCATTCCCTGGAGAAGGAATTTATTCACTAAGGACCCTACAACTTTCCATAATTAACAGTAATACCCACTGTTAGTAAATACCCAGTTTGTAACCCAAACAACGGAGTTTGCACTTGGAAAGTTTTTTACCTAGTAACCTAAAAGCTGCACTTTTAAAAGAAAACAATTTTAAGAGGGAACAAAGTTGCATAGGATTAGAGAGTTGTTTTCCAAGTTAATTTTGTGGTTTTATTTTTTAACTGTTTAAACTGATCCATTCATGATAACAGTTTGCATCTGTATTGTAGTTTGTGATTTATCAAGCATTTATGCACATCTTGTTCCTTAGCCCTTGACACAGGGCAAGAGGTGGTATCGTGGGTCAGGTTCTCCAGAAGCAGACGCTAAGATGGGTTTGGCACATGGGGGGATTATCAGGTGGTCAGCACCTGTGGGAGGTCAGGCAGGATGCAGGACTGGACAGAGGCAGAAGTCAACAGAGCTTCGGCCACCCCACAGGGAGCTCTGGAGCACACATGGCCTGCCCCCATTGCCCCGCAGTGGACCAGAGTGGCTGGCTCTTTTACGTCCATTGTCCTTGGGTGTGGGATGTACAGGAAGAGTGTCGTGCCTGCGGACAGGCGGCTCTCTGCAGCTGAGGGTGTCCCTGAAGGAGCCAGACGCCTTCTGCTAACAGCGCCACCTGCAGCCAGGCAGTAAGTCCTCCTGGAGGGACCATGGCAACACAAATCTGTGTCCACATAGCCTACCCCTGTGCCACTCGGATCCGCCTCTTCGTGCCTAGTTAGGGGGCAGCTTCTCCGGGTTCCAGGGGCTCTCTTCCTGGATGAAACTTAGAGGAGGGAGATTAAACAGTAATAAGTGCTTCAGTTAAGAACCACCTGGATGATAAAATTAGTGGGTAAAAGTGTGATGAGACAAAGGATATTTTTGTCACCTGCAATGGGGAAAATAGTGATTTTACAGTGGAGAAGCCTGGCGGGCACCACCTTACTGAGTGGTCAGAGTTCACCAGAAATAAGACCCGTCACTCCATACGCCCCGACACGCTGCACTGAGGGAGACCCAGCATCCGTGGCGGTGTGGACCTCCTGCTGAATGGGCAGCACCTCAGTCTCATCACGGCAGTGTCAGATAAACCCGGACTGTGGCACACTCCACATACTGAGCAGCGCTCCTCCAAGGTGCCGCAGTTGGAGAAGATAACAGAATGATGCAGAAGCAGCACAGCCTGGAGACCGAGGGGACGGGACAGCTCAGGCAGTGGGTCCTCGTGGAAAGGGCACAAGTGGGAGAGCCGGTGAAATGCGTATAGGGTTGGTAGTATGGTGTCAGCGTAACATGTTAACCTAGGGAGGGCTGGGTGTAGGGTTTATGGGACCTCCGTACTGCTTTTGTCATTTTTCCATACATCTAAACGTATTCCGGAAACAAAGTTTAAAATAAAGGAATGAATGTAAAAGAGGAGGAGGAAGGGTAATAGGCTAGACTACGATCCCTTGGCCACACCTGGTCTCAGAGCCTCCCCTTGTCCCCTTCCTCCCTGTCCAGATTCCCGAGAGTTCTGAGGCTGGTCACCAGGCCATGCTCAGGCCAGAGTCACTGCACTTGTCCACTTACTGCTACAGTTGGGCAAGGGAGGACCAAGAACCACCTGCTTCCATCCCGTTTCCCAGGCCCGTGTGTCCTTCCAGTGCACCACGTAACGGTCTTTGGTGCTCTGTGTGCGCTACAGATCAGACGGTTGTGCCCATCCCACAGCGCACACCTCCACGCTGGTGCTTCTCAGGTCACGCCCACACTGCCAGGCCAGCAGCTTCCGCAGGTGCCACGCGCAACTCAGCCAGAGGACTCCGTGGTCCTGGGCCCTCTCCCGCATGTTCTTTGCTGTGAGGTTGGTCTTCTGCAGGCGTGGCACCCCACGCAGAGGACCAGACCCTCCATAGCCTCAGAGAGTGGTGCTGCCTGAGGACCAGCGGGCAGGACTGGCGAGGCCAGACCCAGAAGAAGCGTCTGTTCCTATTGGAACAGTCAGCTTGCCACCAGGGGCCAGTGGGCCAGTGTCCTCAGGAATGAAGCCATGCTGGTGGCTCAGCTGGACATTCAGCGGTGACAGTAGCCACATCAGCCTTGATGGGTCACAGTCTGTGCTGCTGAGCTGCATTCCTCACACTGCAGCCACTTGGTTCATGTGTCCGTCCTGCTGGCACAGGTGGCCAGCTACCGAGACTGGCCAGCGCCACCCATCTCACGTAGTCAGTTCCCCCTCCGTGGTGGCAGCTCTCTGGTGGACACAAGTGCGACACGACAGTCTACACGCTTTCCCATTCACCCACATGTCTGCATGCCTCTATCCCAGACCTGTCCCCAGTCCTCCAGGCCCCTGACCAGCCGTCCAGGACACCACTGCCAGGGGTCAGCTTTATTCTAACCTGATCCACTGCGTCTACACCAGGTGTACGACCAGGTGCGTCCCCCATTGGGGGCATTTTCCTCACCGCTGTCTTTTTCAGCCAGTGCTGGGTGAGGCTCCAGTGAAGTTGCCATCCCTGCTTTGGCTTGCACACCCACACAGTGAGCCGACCCACCCACAGACCACGCTTGGCCACGGGGAGTCCCCCACATGGCCGCAAGTGTGAGCTAAATAGGACGCTGGGGGCTCGGGCCCCTGCTTGGGCAGCTCGGCTGTGCCGTCTGTGTATCTGCCACTGGCCCTTCCTGATCGCACGCCTGCGGGACAGAGGGAACTCGATTCATAGCAAGCATTTCCCATGCGTGGTCACTTGGGGTCTCGTGGCCAGGCACCCTGTCTGCCTCAGGGCCCAGTCGGCTCTCCAGGCACATCCTTCCCTGCTGGGGACAGCCCAGCCTGGCTCCAGGGCTCCGGGGCTCCAGGGCTGTGCTGCCCACGTCTCTCTGGCACCGGCCACAAGCCCCATGTGGCATCCTGTCCCGCCCTCCACAGTGGGCCATGGCAGTCCTGGCCTATCAGATTACTCAACTGGGTCTCCACTCTCTCAGTGCTTCTAGGAGCCATCCCAGAAACAAGGTCACACCTTCTCCTGGGGAACCTGCCACGGTGTTAAATCAGTATCTCGGGAGAGCTCCCAAATCCGTGAACTCTCCTGTCCAACTTTACGGTCGGGTTCTCGGCTAGGTGCCGTTAGAATTCAGGTGCTCAGGGCTTCTCACAGCTCCCACCAGCACGTTCTGGCTGGGTCATGCAGCTCCTTTGGAGGAGGAGGAGGAGAGTTACGGGCCTGATTCTAGGAAAAGGGATGGGGCAGGTCTTAGGGGGAGCAGCAGCATCTTGCCGAGAGAGACCCTGCATGGTCTTCAAGCAAGGTGGCAATACTTGTTTTTGATAGGAATGGGTGGGCTGTTTGCAGGCTCAGAGGAGGCTGGGCCTCAAAGTTTTGGACATTCATTCAAAAGCCCCACACTAAGTTTTAGGGTGCCCTCCTCCTCCCAGCACTGCAGCCTGAAGACCTTCCTCAGGTGGATGTTTAACGTTGTCTGAACTCGGTGGCACATGCTGCGCTGGGACCAGGTCTCAGCTTTCTCTGCTTTCTTGCCACCTGGGTGCCTCTCCGCCTGTATCAGTGGCGACAGGCAGTTCCTGCTCCGTCACCTGTGAGAGCGCCAGCACATACACAGGCAGCCACCTGTGCTGGGTGCTGTGGGTGCTTCGCCTGGCCCGGCCCGTGAGGTGGTCCCTGCTGCCGGCCAGCTGGGGAGCCGCCCGGCTCCAAAATCGCTCTCCTCACCCCCTTTCTCTTCATTCCCGTCTGGCATGAAGTGGTTTCTCTGGACGCTGAGATGGATTTGGGGAAGGAGGACTTGGCGAATTAAGTGTCAGCACACGTGGAAGGGCAAGGAGGAAGCATGATTGGACCGAGGGTGACAGACATAACCCATGGCGGGTCTAGAGCCTGCGTGGCCTCCAGCGATTTCAGGTGCCCCTCCGCGCTCGGCATGGGGTGCCACAGCCCTGGGAAGGGCCCATCCATGGGGAGGCCCCAGGAAGCTCTCAGTGGCCTCTGACAGCACTCCCAGCAGCTGGGCAGTTTGCCGGGCCAGGGCATCTGGGTGGCACATCTGTGCTCTTCCCAAGTGGTGCTCCCTCTCTTGTAGATGGAGAGCTGTGGGGGATGCGTCTGAGTTGTTGGTCTTGTCCCTTTCACCGTGCTGCACACACTTGTCACTACCCGATTCCCATGGTAAAAAGTCATTATCAGTAAAACTACTTTAAATTCATTTTGAGCGATGACTGTTTCCTCCCAGTTCCTGCCTGTTCTGGCAGTAAAGACACCGTCATCAGCAGTATCCTGTTAGGCTCGTTTTGAGTTACCTCAGAGATTGAAGTCTGTGGGTTCTGTCCTCTCCCGTTGTATGTAGTGAGGGGAAGGCACATCTGGGGAGTAGTAAACAAACTTGACCTTCACATGCATTTGGGCAAAGGCATTTTGGAAGTGGAGCCCTTAGGCCACATGCTGCCAGGGGCGGAGGTCTTAGAGGTCACGTGCCAGGGAGATCGACGATGGCCTGAAGTGAAGCAGGAGGGGTGCCTGGAGCGCCTGCCCTCCGGCCAGCTGTCCCTGCCCTCTCCACAGAGCTTGGCAGGTCTTCAGTGTTTGCTTCCCCTTGGGATCTGCTGCCGCCGCTGGAGCAGCTGTCCTCAACTGGGGCAGTTTCCACCCACCCCTGGGGGATCATATTATGAGGACAGAAAGAACATGCAGATAAAACAAGCGTCCGCTGCGGGGGGCGAGAGCTCTGACACCACGCTGCTGCAAGTGGCGGGGGTGACGTCTGGGGGCATATTTGGTTGTCACAACTGGGGAGATGCCAGGCGGCAGAAGCCAGGGTGCTGCTACTCAGCACCCTACAAACGCCAGCCCCCACACTGCAGAGCAGTGGGCCCAGACGGCCTCACGCACAGGGTGGGAAACGCTCTAAAGCAAGAGCAGAGAGCTCACACGTCACACAGCGTACAGCCTGTACTTCCTGAGCAGAATATTTGACAAAAGCTCTGTACAGAAAGTGAATAAACACTATTGTGACAACTCTTGTTCAAAGTGACTGTCAAAATGTCGCTCCTTTCATAAGCTTTTGGTGTATTTGAGGTTTCGGCAGCCTGAGGCGAGACTGGAACAAGTTTGGTTTTCCCCACTTGGTGCGCGCAAAACTCTGCCAGGTGGATGAGCTAAAGGGATCATATGATGAGGATAAAAAGCACACGCAGGGAAAACAGGCCGTGCAGGCTCTCCTCCTCTCACGACATCCGCCGTGGGGGCGAGGGCTCTGGCACCAAGCCGCACGTGCCCCCTGCGCACGTGACCCAGGCGTCTCTCCTGCAGTTCAGCTCTCCTGGTGCCCGGCGAACGCTCGTGGGGTGCTGCTGTGCGCCAGACACTCTGCAAGGTCACAGGCCTGCCTTAGGGGCCACTGCTGTGAGCCTGTAGGCTCGGGCAGTGTTTGGGGCACTGTGATTGGCACCTGAAGGAACCTCAGCCGACGCGAGCACAGAAGTTAGTGCCGTGTGCCACCTTGCAGCCCTTGGGGACCTGCTTGGGTGTGGGGCTGGAGAAGCACCCAGTCCGTGGCTGGTGTCCTTCCCCTGAGCTCACCCACGAAAGCTGCTCCCGGAAAGTTCAGAGACTGGCCGAGGGCGTGAGTGGCGCAGCCTGTGCCACAGCTGCCCGTAAGGCCTGGAAGTCCCCGTTGCCTCCCTGCACCTCGTTCTGCGCTCCCTGTGATTGAACTGAAGGACGTCTCCCTTCCGCTTTCCCTGGCATTTCTCGTTTGTCTGGACGGTTACACAGTAACTTTTTTAAAAGCAGTTGGGCAGTTCTGCCCACTCTGGGTGCTGTGGGCTGTCTGCAGTTGTCTCTGCAGTCTGCCATCCCGGACAAGTGGCAGCTGGGCAAGTTCCCAGTGACCGCGTCGTTGTGAATCCGGTACTTGGGTAAAACTTCGGAGCCTCTCAAACAACTGAAAACTGCACGTATGAGAATGTGCTCACTCAGGTTGAGTATATTTAATCCGCTTACCTTACCAAGGGAATTTTTTTCTTCAGTTTTTTTGGTTTTGTTTTGTTTCGTTTTGGTGACTGTAGTTTAGACCAGTTTGCTGCCTGTGTCTACGTGAGAAAACATTAACAACCTCAAATCAGTCCTGTCATTCCTGCCCTTGGAGAATGCAGGAATGCTCCTACTTGTCATCCAACCTTCTGGAATAGAGAAAACTGAAAGTAGGGAGGGAGAGACTCCAGCCAGGCTCGGAGGAGAGGTTTGTGACTGAGAGAAGGGCTGTTTTTGATCAGTTGTTGCCAGCGGTGAGAATCGGGGGGCGAAAGGGAGACAGGAAGGGAGCAGCGGTGGGGCTGCACGTTGACCCCAGTTGGCAGAAGCTGACATTCTGAGAGGCGAGTGCGGAGGACGGGCAGGGCCCAGGCAGGGCTGGAGAAGGCGCTCGCCCTTCAAGGCCCAGCGGTGCAGAGGGGTGCAGCCGGGTCGTTTGCGTCCACTGCCCGCCCGGGCTAAGGCTCTGTGGTTCGGGCTGGTCTTGAGAACACGCTTCATGCTTTGCTTAACGACTGGTTGTGGTGGTGTCTTCACTGGATGTTGAGAATGAAGGAAACAGGATCTAGAAAAGGTAACTCTGTTACCACAGAGCATTTCCCTGCCAAGTCATTGCATCAGGAACCCCTGTTCTGTCATCCTCTCTCGCTGCATTTGAATCTGCCTTTAGAAGAACTGTTGATACCTTAACAGCTAACACGTTATCCATTCTTTATTCGTGGGCCCTCTTTTCACTGAGAAGGGGCTCTTCAGGGGTTTGAAGAACATCTCCAGATTCTTCAAACATCCAGGACTTTGTCCAAGACTTAGCTCAAATAAGAGACTCCACATTGGGTGGTAATTAAGAACCTTGCAAGCCCTTCTTGCGAGAGGCCCGTCCCCAGCCCTGTTTTCCCGTCTCTGCCTGTGTTGGAAGGGCAGTGAACTAGCCGGACGCGAGCTTTGCCGGCTCTGGCCCTGTGCTCTCCAGGCTGAGTCTCCCTGCAGTCGACGGCGGCAGGAAGTGTGCAGGCGCTGTCAGCCGACAGATAGACGTAGCGACTTTGGGCCTCTCCTTGAGATTCTGCCACTCTCGGAAAAGGAAGCCACCTACCAAAAGTGTATTCTACCCAAGCCCCAGAAGCTCGTAGACCAGTCGTCTTCCAGACCGTCGGTGTAGAAAGCTTAAGCAGGCAAGAGGAGGCCAGGCGGGAGTGGTCACAGCAGGCTGGTGTGGAGTTCGACAGATACATCCCCCTCCTCACCTTGTCTCGGCATCGCCGAGCCTGTCGTGTGAGTGGCGTCACATCCATGCACGTTGTGTGAGGCCTTAAAAGTGATCTAGAATCCAGGACAAAGTTAAAATCAATTTCATATATATATACATTTTTTAAGCAAAAACAAGTGTTAGCTTTCTCCGTTAAGTCATGGGAAGTAACTCTAATCAGACTCTTAAGCAGACTAAAGTAATTTTGGACACATTCAGGTCCTCGATGGTTTCTTCTGTCAATATCCAGGTGGTACAGTGCGGCCCCCCAGGTTCTCTCCAGCAGACACAGTCACCGCCGTGAGAACGTTTCCTCTGCACATTGAGAACAAGTCACTGCCGTCCCCACCCAGATGCAGAAAGTATTTTGAAGTAGTTCTGCGCCTGGTTCAGATCCTTCAAGTTACACATCACCCAACCTTGCTCACGCCTTACTTCCCCCGAGTGTTTTATGCGTTCTGTGAGTTGGCGCCTGGGAAGGCAGGCGAGGAGAGGCTATGCTGGTAGCTTTTCAAATGAGCGGCAGGTAGACCTTTTCTCATTTAGCTCTCTTTGCTCGGTCCCTGTGATTCTGCGTTACATCATGAAATCACCAGCCCCCTGCGCTACTTTCCCACCTGCGCAGTTGCTTGCACCTCGCACGGGGCCTGCTCTCTGTGGCCCTAGCGGGTGCGCGCGTTGTCCCTGCCGGGGCTGGCGTTCTCACGCCTGCGCTGGGTTTGGCTTTTCGAGGGGTGAGTTTCCAGGCTGGGTCTTCTCTGCCCGCCTCCCCTGGCATTTCACATCACATGCACTCTTCTTCCTTGCAGGCAAATGAAATGTTGCTCAGCGGGCGCAAGCTGACCGCGCAGGAGGCGTGTGGCAAGGGCCTGGTCTCCCAGGTGTTCTGGCCCGGGACCTTCACCCAGGAAGTCATGGTTCGAATTAAGGAGCTTGCCTCATGTAATCCCGTTGTACGTCTAACCAGTTCTGTTACACATACTGCTGTTTTAAAAATGGAACCCTTTCCTCCAGAGAAAGTACCAGTTTGGCAGGATTTCCGAATCCCGCACATTTGCCCCGGCAGAGCCACCTTCACGTGAAATGCTGCCGGAAGCTACGCTCGACGTCTTAGCCCCAGACGCACGGCCTGTCCTCCCTTTTCAAATACCCAGGAATTAAAGGAATGGACTTCAGTCTGAAATTTAGTAGCTTCAGATGTCCCATTACGAACATCTACAACAACCAGCGTTGATATAATTCTTTACTGTTTCCCAAGCCTTTCATGAAATCACACGATTGGGTCCCCGCCACCACAGTGGGCCTAAGTTTTTGTTTAATAATATGCCGAAGAATAATCTAACAAGATTGCATTTAGCACATTGCAGGGTGAAATGTTTAATATTAGCTGACACAACTCCCATGTAAACTGTTTGAGCTAGATGAACGGCCATCATAAAAATTAAATTTTGTTTAGAAAATCCCCTCGGCAGGCATTCTCAGGGTGTCAGCGAGCACAGCAGAGCTGGCCTCCGGCTCGGGTCCGCCAGCTGCAGCAGCAGTGCGGCCGAGGCCAGTCTCCTGCTGAGTGAGGGCCAGGTTGCAGGCAGCCCTGCTCTCTTTTGCAATAGCTTAACAGCCACTTTAAAGTCAAGAATTTACCCCCCACTTAGTGTGAAATAGGCTTTAGTCACAAATTAGGCCTGGTATGTATTGTGAAAAACTGGTAACCTTTTTAACAGGTCATTGCTCAAGTCTGAGAATTGCCTCCATGAATTTGGAGGAGAAACGGAGCGAGTGTCTGCAGACATGTGCCTTGCTAACTACCTGCTTGTTGCACACAGGTGCTCGAGGAATCCAAAGCCCTTGTGCGCTGCAACATGAAGCTGGAGCTGGAACAGGCCAACGAGAGGGAGTGCGAAGTGCTCAAGAAAATCTGGGGCTCTGCTCAAGGGATGGACTCCATGTTAAAGTACTTGCAGAGGAAAATCGATGAGTTTTGATGGCCAGGCCGCCTGCTGGTGACTTGGAATCGGCTCCAAGTTGCCCTACATCCTCAGCCTGAAACAAGTTCACTCGTTGCTCACGCTTGGAAGCAGGACTGGAAACATCCAAGCTATTTATTATCAAGGAGTTTTAAAGTACTGTAACTTTAAAATAAATAACTACAAAGCTTCTTTGTCCAAACGTCATTGTTTTATACTTACGTACACACAAGTATAAAAGTATAATGTGAGCACTAGACTGCTCTTGGAAGCTCTTATTTCTGTTTTCTTCGGCTAGTACTGTATAAAAGACAGAGCTGTGTTTTATTGGATTTGGATGACAGAAAAGTCTGGAATAATGTTCGTTTTCCTCATTTTTTTCCTTCTAGAACACAGAATCTAAAGGGGTATTAACCAGCCTCACTGTTCCTGCCCCAAATAGAGATACAGAAAAATTTGAGACATTGCCTTTGTCTTCAAGAAGGTACAGATACCTCAGAGATGGAAAATTCTAAATCAGTAGTAAGACTTTTCTTTTAGGGTGCATATTTCTGATGAAAAAATCCACTGATGAGCATACCCCCAAACCAAACATACACTTAGGATTCGTGCTGAGATATCAGTTGATTTCCCCTTTTTTTAAATATGTCCAGTTCTTACCCAGTTAACATGAAGAAACCACTGTCTCTCTAGAAGAAAGCTTGTTTTGCAGTATTAGTGAATCACTGAATAGCTTAAGTATGAATATCTAAGTTATAAGTTAGGCCTAGTGGGTTTTAAATAGTTTTTCTGACCCTTTTGAAAAATAACTACATAAGTGCTTCTTGTTGCTGGGTGAGAAATACTACTTTATATACAGTTTTGGTTTTCTATTTGCAGATAATGATTGATGTATTACACCAAAATAAAGTATTTTTATGTTTATAAAGTGTAATTTTTAGGTTCACTTAGAATATATTTTATTTAATAAGTTAAAATTCTTTCGGCACACTATTAAATGAGAAACTCCTTTCAAAAAAAAAAGGAACTACCTTATATTTGACATTTAATGTTCTTGGTCTCTGCTATGTCTGTACAATATACTGAGTACAGTATGGTGTCCACGAGTGCCCTGTGTGAGTACACACGTGCATTCCTTCCAGGAGTGGGTACTGATTCCAGACTACAGAGGCCTGTTACTAGTTAGGCTTCTGAGCTTGCAATCATATTGAATGTATGAAGAGCGAAATAAAATCAAAACCTTATTTTTGTACAGTTTTGAAGTTTATACTTAGAACTGACCACCTCCCCAGCCACGTGGAGAGCTGTACAGTGTGTAAATCTGCCTTTACCTTGGATTGATTGGTACAGTATTTTTGCATTTGTGGGACCTACTTTTTTGTTCGGTAGTTTGAACTATATATAAACTGTACAATCTGTAAAGTTTTTATAGAATAAATATTCAGCTGTGAAAACTGGTTAAATAAACTAATATTTCTTAACACATTTGAAAGTTTCTTCGATTAATTCTTGTGGGATGTTTTCTCTCATCTTTTTTGTGAAGTGCACATATGTGTGTTAAACATTTGTACGGTTTAATGGCGTGGACACCTGCATAACTGTCACCCCGATGGGACCTAGAATATAATATCCTCCTAAGTCACATCAGCCTTGCCTCTCACCCAGGGGACTATTTCCTGAATTTTATGTCAATCCGCTTCTCTTTCAAAGAAATTATTCCTGAAATATATTACTTAGTTCTACCTATTTTTAGCCTTTATATCATATCACAAATAAGCTGTAATTTACTTCTTTTTTTTTTTTTTTTTGAGACAGAGTCTCACTCTGTTGCCCTGGCTAGAGTGCTGTGGCATCAGCCTAGCTCACAGCAACCTCACACTCCTGGGCTTAAGCGATCCTCCTGCCTCAGCCTCCCGAGTAGCTGGGACTACAGGCATGTGCCACCATGCCTGGCTAATTTTTTCTCTCATATATATGTTTTTAGTTGTCCAGATCATTTCTTTCTATTTTTTTTTAGTAGAGACGGGGTCTCGCTCTTGCTCAGGCTGGTCTCGAGCTCTTGACCTTGAGCAATCCACCCGCCTCGGCCTCCCAGAGTGCTAGGATTACAGGCGTGAGCCACCGCACCCGGCCTGTAATTTACTTCTTTAATTCAGTATTATATAAGATATTCTCTTACATAGAGTTGTAACTTATTCCTTCTCTACTCGCAGCTGCAACATGGGTATTTACACCCTTGGCCCACAGTCACATAGGTAAATGGTCAGGGATAGGACCGGACTTCTGACCCAGGTCATTGTGGGAAAGCCCATATTCTGACAACTGCACCACGCAGTCTGTTTTCTAGAATTTTGAAATAGGGAGCTAACTCAGTTCTCAAATCAGCGAGAGGGGTCTGTGTCCATCATCCTGGACTTCGCATATTCTTGGCTTTGTGGTTCGCATCCCCCTTTTCTGAAGCAAACTCCCCGTTTTTCAACTCCTGTCTCAAGTGAGAGGAGCATTGGCAGCATTAGTGGAGTTTTTGTGTTCATGCCCAGTGGGTGAGGATGAAGGGAAATGTGGCCTCGTGTTGGCGGAAGTCTAAATCGGTTCAACTCTGTAGAGAAGACTTTGATAGTAACTGTCAAGTATAAAAAAACCTTGACCCAGCAACTCCATTTACAAGGATTCATCTTGGTTATACGAAATTTGACAAAGACAGATTAGCAATTAAATTTAACTCCGGATTGTTCGTAATAGTGAAAAGTTGGAAACAACATTCATGTCCTTCAATAGGGTTTTGGTTAAATAATTATGCAACACTGCCACAGTGGAATGAATACACATTTATTGAAAAGAGATGTTTATAAAATCTTAAGTTAAAAAACATTATTTAACAATTTATGTCAAAAAATATGCTTTTAGAAGTTTTAAAGGATATGCACAAAAGATATTCTCTTATACTTGCCAGATTCTCCCCTGCTTCCGAGCTCCGGGGAGAGCTAGACCAGGGCCGCCCTCCTCAGCTGTGACAACAGTGGCAAGATCACTGCAGTGTGTGTCAGGCTCTCTTCTAAACATTTTATGTGCATTAACTCATTTAACTTTTTGAGAGTATTCATTTTATAGGGAATAATGTAATATATAATCACTCTACAAAATGAGTGCTCTCAAAAAGTCCCGGTAAGCTGATGCAGTTTGTGGTGTCCCCAGCAAAACCAGTGAAGACTAAAGAACCCAGGCTCCGGGTGGATGTCCCGGGCAAAACTAACGAAGACTCAGAAGCCAGGACTGAAGATCTTGGAGGGAATCTATGCCCACAGTGTGAACAGAGACGTGCAGAGGGCGCCTGGCTGGGGCTGCTCCCAGAGGCCCAGGCCAGCCTACTTGGCCAACTCCCCTCCAGTCTGACCACCTCTGAGGCTCCGGCCCACTCACACCATTTCTCTCACACCAGTGTGAACAAGCGTCACAACTTCTCCAAAGGATGAGAAGCCTGTGTGCTGCAGGAGAATTGGCACCTACCAAGCAGAAACCCATCTTAAGAGGGAAAACCCCGAGGCTCGGGACTCAACCAGCTGGGTCTGTCTCTGCGCTTGGAAGTTCAGTCTCACCTCTCTTCTCCAAATCCACTTACCAAGCCCACCTGCTGGCCTCTAACCAGCTTTCCCCGACCTGTGGCCTGCCTGTCTTTTTAATAGAATGCACTCAGCTTTTTGAGACTTCTGACACATCAACCTTTTGAGGGCCAGGCACAGTGGCTCATACCTATAATCCTAACACTTCGGGAAGCTGAGGCAAGAGGATCTCGAGTCCTGGAATTCGAGACCAGCCTAGGCAACAGAGCAAGACCACATCTCTACAAAAAAAAAAAAAAAGCCAGCGGTGGTGGCATGCATCTAATAGTCCCAGCTGCTAGGGAGGCGGCAAGAGGATGGCTTAAGCCCAGGAGTTGAAGGCAGCAATGAGCTATGATGATGCCACTGCACTCCAGCCTGGGTGACAGAGCAAGACCCTGTCTTGGAAATAAAAAAAAGATCGGACTTCACTGGGTCCTTCCCTGGTGTGGCCTGTGGTTTGCTGGCCGGACGTTCCTCTGTTGAAGATGCATCCACTCATGTGCCATGTGAACCTTCTAGATTTCACTGTGAAGCAAACAATTCCCTCCTCAGGGACTCAGAGTCCAGCTGGGCATTTCTGGGAGGTGGGGGTGCCTTCCCAACGCTCTGCTTTGGGGCTCAGCTTTACCGTTCCTCTTCTTCCTCTGGGGCTGGTGCCCGGAGAGAGTGCCATGCTAACGAGGCGTGGTCCCGGCACGGAGCCGTTGTGATCCTCACTAAAGCCCTTGGCCGGCTGCCAGCAGCGACTGGATTAGCAGATGGACCGAGAGAGGTAGATTAAATGGACCAGGGCCACCACCAGCCTCCAGAAAGAGGCCACGCGCATCCTGCGACAGCAGGTCAGCACTTCAGCTACCCTCGTTTTTGGTAAAAGCAAAGATAATCTGTTGATTTCTACGCCTTGCTATAAATGTTTGCTAGTACAATCTGTTAGTTGTGACAGTCACCACTGGTGTTTTGTTTTTGGTTTTTTTCCCTAGAGACATTCCCCGGAGCTTCAAAGCCTCCTGCGGTGAGAAATACCACGTAATCATCCTGTTCGGAGGGAAGAAAGTGTCCGCAGTTCTTGTTCTCTAAAGGTGTGTGATTATCATTAGAACAACAGTCCTGGCTCTGTCCTGGGGGCACCCAGATGCCTTCGCTCCCTTAGTGTGTAACACCCCTACCCCTCTGTTCTCAATTTCCAATTCCCCACGGAGGAAGGGGAGATGACCCCGTTGCCTGTGGGGACAGGGCTCCTGGGGTGAGCCTTGCCAATTGTGACGTTCAAGTCGCTGCTCCAGGGACTGTAACAGCCGTGGGATGAGACAGAGGTGGGAGTGGGACTCTGCCCTGCTCTGTGCATGCGGCAGGTTCTCTCCACAGCCTGGGCCTTCGCAGGTCCAGAACAGTGATCCCGGGACTTGAAGTGGCGTCAGCAGTCACATGCGGCCCAAGTCAGGCTATCCGAGTGCCGACCTCTCCCTGGTAACCGGGAGAGAGATGCTCCCACGGAGCGGTTCACGCGCGACTGAACAACTTCATTGCGAACCGCGCACCAGAGCGAGCGCGCCAGGGCTGTTCGCCGCTTCGCCGAGGGTAAAGCCGAGCAGTGACACTGCGCGTGTTTCAGGTGTGCAGTTGGACTCGTGATGGATGGATACACCCAAGAAGCCACAGCATAATCAAGACAGCGAACACGGCCACCCCTCAAAGGTTTTCTTGGGCTTCTTTGCAATTCCGCCCTCCCGCCCTACCCCAGGCAACCACTGATCTGCTTCTGTCACAATAAGTAGATTTTCAAACTACTCCCAATACCAGTCTGAGCGCTGCAGGCAAATGCTTTCCCGTTGGAGGGTGGGCCTTTCCATGCGTGTGTAAATTCTCAACCCTGAAAGAGAGAGAGACAGACGGACAGATGGGAAAGGCTGGCACGGGCCCTCCTGGGAGGCTTGCCCTGACCACAGCCCCAGCTTGCTCCCATGCCCTGGAGCTCCTGACTGCCCTTCTACAAGCTTCGTGGTGGCCTCATTACCTGTCCTGGGCTGGCTCCATACGGTCTGGGACTCTCAGCCAGTCCTGACACCAAAACAACCAATGACAGAGACAAGACGTTTGGAGCCAGGCACTGCACCCCCACCTCTCATCCCTGTGATGCTGGGCTGCTAAGCAGAAGCGCACCCCTCTCTCCTTTCTGAGGGCTTCACCCCTGTGTTCTGCTCTGCCTCACGCTAGATCTCCCGTCTGTCTGCTCCTCTCCTGACCCCTGAGCCCCAAGTCAACGCGAACACACCACAGCTGCTCCAGTCTGCAAGCCCACACCTTGGGACGCAGGTGGGCTGTGGCACCTGGCCCATCCTCGCCAACGTGGGAAATGGTCCAGCATACATATCATGTCCCAGCTTGGGCAAATGATGATGAAGATAGTTTTCCCACAAAATAGGAGAGAACATCTGTGAAACTGCCTGGTTCATTTTCTAGCACAAAATAGGCATAGAACAGGGGGGCTTAGTAGGCAGACGTAGACTTTAAAAGCTCCATAAGAAGCAGGTGAAGATTTCAACAGGACACAGAAACACCAACCCAAAAGGAAAAGATTGGTACATTGGATGGTGGTAAAATTAAGAATTTCTTTTTATCAATAAGAGAATAAAAAGGAAAGTCACAGATGGAGAAATATATTTGTAACCTATATAATAGGCAAAAGACCCATATCCAAGATATGTAAAGAATTCCTACAAATTATTAGGTTATTAAGTATGGAATGTCCAATTTCTTTAAGTACTAAGTCTGACAGTTGATATCTCTGACATTTCACTTAGACACTTGTTTTTTTTTTTTATTGTGAAGATACATTTTCAATCTTTCAAATGCATGGTTTGACTTGTGATTATTTTGCAAATT